TAAGAAAGCTTTGAAGATGGGTGAGTAGAGAGTTAACAATGGAAGCAATAATCCAGCAGACTCCAGAAGACAATAGAGTATGTAAATCTGATGATCAAACAAAATGAAAAACAAAGGAATAGAGACCAAGAAACCACACAAGGGTGAATACACTGCTGTTTACGGTCTTATCAAAGCTCTCCTCTCTGCTAGATGCTCCTTGAGCATCCTACCTTATAAAAAAGTAATATGCAAATTAACCATCACTCTGCTCAAAGCCACGCCTACCAGCCAATCAGAGCGAGTATGTAAATCAACCCCAGCCAAGATGGCTGCAGCCACAGAGAGCAGTTGAGAGGGTTGGGTTTCCCTGGCAATGGAAGCCAAGCTTTCCACATACCCTGGCTGGCCTAGGCCTCCACTCAAGGATACAGTTTCAATTATAGAAGGTACATAAGTCCTTAACAGAAACGGAGACAGATAGCCATGAAGTGAGCAGGGGGCTTGGCTCTGCTCCAGGCTACAAAGTTTCAATTATAGAAGATAAATAAATTCCAGGGCCTCCACTTGGGTAGCTGGGAGACCTGGCCACTCTATAAACCACCACAGGCCCCTACCCCAGGCCACCCCACACCCCAAGGCAACCCCACCCTGATCCAGACAATTCTATCTAATAAAAGAGTAATATGCAGATTGACCATCACTTCAACACAAAAGCTGGCTGTCCTCATGTGGTCAAAGATCCTGCCCTTGTGTGGACACAAGATGGCCAGCAGGGGAGGGCAGTTGGGATGGACCAGGTCTTCAAGGGAGGACAGTTGGAGGTGATCAACTGTGTAAGGAAGGGCAGTTAGGGGTGGCCAGGCTGGCAGAGGAGGGAAGTTGGGGGCAAACAGGCTGGCAGGGGAGCAGTTAGACATCAATCAGGCTGGCATGAGAATGGTTAGGGGGTGATCAGGCTGGCAGCAGAAGCTAAAATAACTTTTAGCTATAGTACTTTCATTATCCTCAGTCTGAAAATAAAAGGACAAAGGAAATGCAAAGAAAACTTAAGTTTGACTTCATAGGCTAGTTGTGTTTTTTTAAAATATATTTTTATTGATTTTAGAGAGGGAGCAAGAAAGAAACATCAATGATGAGAGAGAATCATTGATCAGCTGCCTCCTGCATGTCTGCTACTGGGGATTGGGCCCACAACCCAGGCACGTGCCCTTGATGGGAATTGAACCTGAGACCCTTCAGTTCGTAGGCTGATGCTCTATCCACTGAGCCAAACCAGCTAGGGCAATAGGTTTATTGTTAACAGTAATTTTGAAGCAAATTTATGTGCACTGTAGAATTGAGCAAAGAAATAAATATACTTATCTTTTTGAGGAGCCAGGCTTCTCATGGTGAGAGAAAGGAGCTATAAATATAAAATAGCGAAAGGCAAGAATGATATAAAATGACTATTTTTCTCACTCTGTCCTCTGACAGGACATATGCAATGACACTTTAGAGGCAATGAGCACAGCTAGTTTCCAGATCTTGAGTTCTATTATCACACCCCATTAACAGGGGTCCTTAGTAAAATGACCGTGTCAGGCCTAGGGCTGGGAGAGTAAACCTACACCATGCTGTGCCAGAAGTGAGAATGTGCTCAAAGAATGGCAGGCACAGAAGCCGGCTTGAAGGAGCTCCCACTGACCAAATCTAGGACAATCTGAGCATCAAAAGAGTAATGATAGTAGTGGATTATAGTCCTTTGAATAAAAGCAGAATCATAGATCCATTTTGACAGAAATAAATAAATAGATAAGGGAGAAGGGAAGACCCTATGGTAAAGTGTTAACTAATAAATGCAGAAGGAATACCAGTGTGGCTCAATTGGTTAGAAGGTGGTGATTCAATTCCCAGTCAGTGGTCATACTTAGGTTGCAGGTTTGATCCTCAGTCGTGCTATATTTAGGAGGCAACCAATGGATGTTGCTTTCTCCTCTCTCTTTCCCTACCTCTACCCCCTTTCTCTCTCTGAGATCTTCTTTAAAGAAAAACACACCACTATTTGACAATCATAATAATTTGATTCAGGTAGAAGCCATCAACGTACTATTAATATAAGGAACAGGATATTCACATAGCTTCAGATAATCTCCCCACAGGTTTGTCATTAATTACATAATAACTAAGTAAAGAAATTTGGAAGACATGTCCAGGATTTTTGGTTATCAAAGTTAACATCATCAATATGGGAACAAGTGACAATTGCCTGTCACCTGATAGGATCAAAGAGAAGAAATAACCTCATTTCTGGGGTATTCCTGCTACCTATCCATAACCTGAATCTAATGAAGTATCAGATGAATACAAATTGAGGGACATGCTACAGAATAATTGGCTCTTTCTCTTCAAAGTTGAGAAGAACAAAGAAAGAAGGATTAAGACTTGTACACCAATATTCATTTATTAGTTTTGACAAATATACAATGTATCATGTATTATAACTATTAAAGGAAGCCAGGTGAAAGTTATACTGGAACTCTCTATCTTTGCATCTTTTCTTTAAATCTCAATTTATACCAAAATAAAAAAATTAGTGTTGTGTGTGTGTGTGTTTTTTTAAAGTAAAAATAAAGGCTGATACAGATGAAGGAAGGCTGGAGAGACATAAGCACTGAAATGCAACAGGTGATCCCAGACCTGAAAAATCCTTACTACAAAAGACAAGTAGGATAATGGAATGAAGGAAATCTGAATGAAGTCTGTGGGTTGGATATTAGTGTTTGGGTTTTTTTTTTTTTTTTTTTTTTATCAATGTTGTTTCCTCATTTTGACACATTTGCATTGTGGTTATGTAGAGAATGTTCTTGAGTTTAAGAAATACGGAAGTATTTAGAGGTTAAAAAAAAGAATCTGAGCATTTCTCTCTGCCTGTACAGTTACTATGCTGCTCCAAACCACCATCATCTTTTACCTGGATTATTTTAATAGCCTCTTAACTGGTATCCCTGCCCATGCCTCCATTCATTTTGTTTTCAATATAAGAGCCATAATGATTGTTTAAAACATAAGTTAGAGCATGTCACTTCTCTGCTTAAAATCCTTCAATGGCTACCTAACCTTAGAGAAAAGCCAAGGTCCTTAAAATATCCTACAGTGCCCTGCACTATATGGCTTCTGGTTACCTTTCTGAATTCATCTATTTCTACTCTTTTCCTTGCTCATTACACTCCAGCCACAGTGGCCTCCTTGTTGCTCCTCTAACACACCAGGCGCAGTATACACTCAGCCATTCCCTTCGTCTGGAACATTCTTCCCCAGGTAGCCACATGGCTTAGTCCTTCACTTTAGATTTTTATGCAAATGTTATCTTATTAGTGAGGCTTTTTCTAATTGTCCTATTTAAAATTTCAATCTCTCCCACCTCTAGCCCCTTTCAGTTTTATTTTTATTAACACTGATCACTAACATCTGTACATTTTATTATTTATTTATTGTCCACCTCTCTCCTACCCAGAATGTAAATTCCAAGAGGGCAAGATGTATGCCTTTTTTGTTCACAGATGTTTTTTTTCAATGCCTAGAACAGTATTTGCCGTATAATTTGCTTTTCAGTAAGTATTTGTTGAATAAATGAATAAAAAAGCAAGGTGTTAACTGCAGGCATGGTTCGATGTAGATTCTCAGCATGTGACTAGGACTTTGTCTTTACGTCCTGGTTTTGCTTTCCACTGCATTGGCTTCATTCTCAGGCACGTTTGAGGTGTGATGGATGATGGCATGATGGCCACCGGCAGCTCCAGGTTTACATTCTAAAAATTCAGCAACCCCATTGGAAAGAGAGTGCCTCTTTCCTGATTGCTCCAGTGAAAGCCTTAGAAATGAGTCATATTCTGGGTTTGGGTCAAGTGTCAATTCCTAAAACAATCGCCTAAGGTAGAGGAAGAAAATCCCGTGACTGCCTGGTCAGGCCCTGAGTCATGGGGTCCCCTGGAAGCAGGGTGGAGTCAGTTCTACATGGACTGGGAATGGGGAAGAGGTGGTTCCCTGAAAGGAAATGGAGTGCTATCACTTGAGGAAGAGAGATGGAGGCTTGGCTGGCAGGGAAAACAGATGTCCATCGCATCATCAGTAGTGACCCACCATTAGACTTAGCCCAGAACAGTATTCTTCTCTTGCCCTTCCGGCTTCACATCCAGCCAGATCGACCTCCGAACGGTGGTAAGGGTCTATCCTCAATGCCTTTTCACCTGTTTCTGTGGTCGGCGTCTTCCTCATCCTTCAGTGTCAGGTTCAAACAGGATCTCCTTTATGAGGACTCCTGACGTCTTTACTCTCTCCCTAGTTAATTTTGCTTCTCCTGTCGTTACCTCTGCATACTTTGCCCTGTATTTTACGGATTTGTATACATGGTGAGCTCCTCGTGGAAAAGGGTCCATTTCCCAGCTGTCCGCACGGACACCTCCCACCCTCCGCCGCTGCAGCGATTAAATGCGCGCCGGGGCCACCAGGGGGCGCTAGGCGCCAGGCGCGAGGCCGCCGGGGGCGGGAGGCGCTGTGATTGGCAGGAGCGGCCGTCAATCAGGCGCGGGCGGGAGCGGGGCGGGGGGAGGGGCCTGCATGAATGGGGCGCGCGGCGAGCGGGCTGCAGTCGGCGCTCGCGGGGGGAAGCCAGAGCCCCGGCAGCGAGTGGGTGGGAGGAAGCGAGGGGGGGAGGGTGCGCGGGGGAGGAAGGGAAAGAGCGCGGGGGGCGGGGAGGGGCCGCGCCGGGCTGGTGCGCCGGGAGAGGCGAGGCGCGGGTGTGAGCCGGAGCCGTGGCCCCCGCGCCGGTAGCTTCGGAGCCGCTGTCCGCTGCGCGGCCTCCGCCCTCGCTGCGGGCGGCCGCCTGCGGACCCCCGAGAAGCCCCCGGCGTCCCCGACCGGGCCGAGGAGTGAGGACGGGGAATCGGCGCTGAGAGAAGCTAGCCGGACCGAGCGGCCAAGCCCAAGCCCCCCCGGGAGTGGAGGTGGGGGGCTGAGGCCCCCGAGGGGGCCCCGCCGCGATGGGCAACCTGGAGAGCGCCGATGGGGGTCCGGGCGAACCGCCCTCCGTCTCGCTGCTGCCGCCGCCCGGCAAGATGCCGATGCCCGAGCCCGTTGAGCTGGAGGAGAGGTTCGCCCTGGTGCTGGTGAGAGCGCAGCCCCGTCCCTTCCCCCTCCGACCGCCCCCCAGGTCGCAGCGCCCGGGGTGGGATTTGGCCGCGGCTCCCCCTCCGGCCCACCCCTTCAGTCAGGGCTTCCGACAGACCCCGTCCTCCGGCGCCTTCCTCTCTGGAAGCCTCCGAGCAGCCGCCGGCCGGCCCGACAGCCCCGTCGGGGGCGACGAGGTCTCCACCACTGGCCACTTCGGAGGAGGGGTCCCCGGCCCGGGGCTCCAGACGTCTCCCCCCGCCCCCCTTCTCTGCCTTCCTCACTTCTCCCCACCGCCCCGACGTTCTTCCCAGGCCCCTCGATCCTCCTTCCTGCGCCTCTGGCCGGTGCGGGGACATTCAACTCAGGAGCTTGGGCCGGGCCACCCTGAGCCTAAGTCCGGGCTCTCTGACTGGGGAGACCGCCTCTCGTGTTAATATGGAGGCTTTCCAGGGAGTGGGTCCCACTCCCAGCCCGGACCAGATGTTTGGGGGAGGTTACGGGGGAATGGGGAGGGGACTGGCAGATCTGGAAGGAGGTGGAATAAAGAGCGATGCCATTCGACTCACTTTCAGAACGGCCTGCAGGCATCCTGCGAAGTTACAGTGGATTTGCCTGAAAGGGCTGAACATGTGGATAAGCCATTTCGCTAGTGTATTTTTCCAATTGAAACAATACACAAACCTTCCTGCCTCCCCTCCCCACCCCCTGCTTTTTATGTTAAGCCCTAGTAGGCTGATTTGTGTTCTTTGCCTGTTTCTTTTTCTTTTTCTTTTTTTGATATATTTTATTGATTTTTTACAGAGAGGAAGGGAGATAGATAGAGAGCTAGAAACGTCGATGAGAGAGAAACATCGACCAGCTGCCTCTTGCACACCCCCTACCGGGGATGTGCCCGCAACCGACGTACTACATGCCCTTGACTGGAATCGAACCCGGGATCTTTCAGTCCGCAGACCGACGCTCTACCACTGAGCCAAACCGGTTTCGGCTGCCTGTTTCTTTTTAGTCTTTCTGTAAGGTTCCCAAAGGATCTGTACAGATGAGGTTTTAGAGCTGACTTTGGGATTCTCCTTTGCTATGGGAATTGGACATGGATTCCGGTGGCTGGGTGGGTTAGAGAGGATCGAAGCTGGGATCATTGGGATGGAGCCAGAGATACGACGGAGCTGAAAATCAAGTTTTGGAGAAAGAAAGTGAACTTGGTGATGGGGTATTTCCTAACAGAGGTAAAATAAATGACTTGAACTGAAAGAACTCTCTAAGCAGCAGTGTTAATGCGGCTGTTATCGTTGGTATGACCCGAAGGGCTGACTTTGCCTTTGCCCATGAGAAGGGATAAGTTGTGGACTTAGCAGCCTTATTGGATTTCATCTGCCTTGGAATCGTGAGATTAGATCTGTTGGCTTCAGCGAAGCTGTCTGGAGATCCTGGTCTCTCTGAGGGTGCAGAGCCCGACATCAGCCCACTGGCATCACAGCCCGATCAGAGGGCATCCATGGGGTCCTACGGGGAAGCAGTGTTACTGGCACCTCTCTGCCCCCAGCCTTGCAGAAGGCCAAAGGGATCTGGGCCATACATCCTGCGGCCCTCTGCGTTTACCCATCGCCTCCTAAGGGGGTTGGGGTGAGTCAGTGATTACTAATGTGCTGTGGCCTTCTCTGGGACTTGGTGCCCTCGAGAACAAGAGCTCAACTGTTTGGAAAAGCAGTGGGAGGGAGCATGCACTCCAGTGGGGGTGTGAAAACCCCCAGTGAGCTGGCGTGATGTAGCTTCTGAAACAGTAGAGAAAGAGGTGGCCTGGGTAGGGGGCTGCCTCAGGTAGGGGCTGCCAGGCCATTTGTTGTGAGAGCTCAGAACCAGAATCAACCTTGTCCTCCTTGGAGCTTGGTGGATACATGTGTTTAGTTGGCAAATTGATGGCTTAATATCCACAAAATGCATGTGATTACTAGCCAGAGCGCCCAGGTTAATCAGGGGATTGGACCACCCACTTGCAAGCCTTCCTTTTGGTATAAAGTTTTGATTTGTTTCCTTGTGGCTTTTGTTTTGGTCTTGTTCTGTGTGCCCAAGCTGCTGCTGATGGGGGTTGGTACAGGGCAGGCCAGGGCTAGTTAGCCGTCTTAAGAGAGAAGGGGATTTTAACTCACTTTTCCAGCACGTGGAAATTGTGCTTTCTCGTGGACTTGAGTTCTCTGGAGGCTGTTAAATATCTCTTTTCCTCTGCTACTGAAACCTGCCCTATATTACTATCCTTCAGGAACACTACTAGCTGCTGGCTGTTTGACCCTGGAACAGTCTCAGGTATATTTTTTGAAGTCAGGAGAGACAGAGCATAGTAGGAAATAACAGGGCTCTGGCTTAGCAATTGTCTTAATCAGTCTGAGCCTCATCTATAAATTTTATAGATTTACTTATCTATAATTTGGAGCTAATAATACCCATACTGTGGTATTGTTGGGGGGGGGGGGGGAAGGTGAGCTGTATGTAAGGAGTTTGGCATCCAGTAGATACTCGATATAGATTAGCTGCTTTCTTGTCTTTAAACATTTTAAAATATTTTTAAATTGATTTTAAAGAGAGAGGGAGAAAGAGACATTGGCTACCTCCTGCCTTCCCTCTACTGGTGATCAAGCCCGCAACTCAGCATGTGCCCTGACTGGGAATCCAACTCCCAGGATGATGCTCCCCCAACTGAGCCACACTGGCCACGACAGCTGCTTTTCTTGCTTGTGTGTCAGACAATCAAGACAAGGGTTAGACAAGCTGCTCCTTTTTCATCCTTTTCTTTCCAAGATTGTCAGTTTTACTTATAATCGATTTGCTTTCAGAAAAAGCCAAATAGTATTTGGGGGATTTGTTGAGGTGACATACTGGTGTCCTGGTTAAGCATCTGGATTTTCAAGTCAAAGTGGACTCAGATACTGGCTCTCTAGTCTCTAGTTAGAAAAGTGTTTGACCTCAAGCAAGTTATTTAATCTCTTTGAGTCCCAATTTCCTCTTATAAATAGGGATAATAATAGTATTTGCCACATGAGATTATTATGTGGATTTAATGAAACTGGAAGTGAAGTACTTAGCAAAGTCTGCATCTACTACATGCTCAGTAAGTAGTAATTTTACATCTGTAGTTCTTAGCAATGATTTAGATCTGAGACCACTTATGTTCCCAAATTGGGATTTAAGTTTGGAAATCTGATGAAGCCAATCTCATGATATGTCTGCTGCTGTTAGATGGAGGGCTTCTCCAGTCCCAGTGTAACTATGGAAACCCCCCTGAAAAGCACCCTGGGGGAGGAAGTTGTATCATTGCTGAGTCAAGACCACAGACTCCCAGCTTTCTGATGCAGACACATGATCTGACCTATAGCCTGTCAGCCGAGGTTGGAGAGTTCCAAGTCTGAGGTCATGAGGTGATTTGTTCAGGACATTGATCCCAAGAGTCCTAAACCCAGCCCAGGACTTCCCTCCCGACCCCCACTTTCCCTTCATCCCTGGGTATGGCTGAGGCCCCTTATTGGTCCCATCTGGCTTCCACCATACCCTGCGTACGCTACAAATAGTATTGTTTCCTAGGTGCCTCGATATAAAAAAGGTTGTAAGGCTGCTGTTATGCTGTTTCTTTGGGATTCTTTCTTACACCCCCTCCTCTCCGCACGCCCCCCCTCATCTCTTCCCCGCCCCCCCACCTCCATCTGAACAGCAGCTCCCATTCTGTTGAGTATTGAGAGGTCTAGGGATGGGTTGTTATTGGCACTCCTCTTTATTAATACTGGGATGAGAGCTGATCTCTGGTCTGATAAAGCACCAGTCTGTGTTTGGTACCAACTAGATTACAGTCCACCCTTGATTACTCAGAAGCTAGCATTCTGGCCAGTACAGGCCTTTCCTTAGATAGAAAGGGGTGGTAGAGGACTGTAAGGGCATTGAAAGGATAACAGTTTTTCTCTTTGCTGACTGACTTAGACTTGAAACAGTCTGAAGATTCTGACGCCAGAAAAAGCCCAGAATACCTCTCAGGAGGAGGTTCTCGGCATCAGGAGCAGGGGTGGGTGGGTTGTGTGACAGGCTGTCCCTGCCGTGGCTCCTCCTCTCACACTTCCCTGGTGATGACTGATGATGGGGTTTGCAGTGAGTGTAGTGTTGATGTGGAGGCTAAGCTGGTCTGAGTGCTAGTTGTCTAAGAGGCCTTGAAGGGGCATTCTTTGAAATTGAAAGGGACTGGGGAAAAGTTGGGACTGAATATCAAGTTCCAAATTGCCATGGTGGAAATTTTCCCCCCAGCCCTGGAGATTTTGGTGAATTAGTTCTGGCTGGAATAGAACTTTGCGGGTGTGTGTGTGTGTGTGCACCTTTGACAGCAGCAGCGGGTGAGGGGAGCCCCTCTTGTATGGAGGCTTCAGTGAGAAGACTCTAGGCCACAGAGCAGAGCTTGACCTTCCCGTGTGACCCAGCCTTAGACTAAGGGAGGTGTGTGTATGTATGTGTGGGGATGGTCTGGTGGAATGGATTTGGGAATGTTTCCATTGTTCAGAAAGGGATTCAGATTTATTTCCTATTTCTCTTAAAGTAATATTCTTTAAAAAAAGAGAAAAAAAAGTATGGGCAATTAGAAGAAAAGATTGAAGATTTGAGTTGAAGAAAAAATGCATTTTTTTTTTTAGTTCCTTTACTAAATGGAGCCAATATCTTTTATTTTTGTCTCTGCATTGGGTTTTATATAATGTGGATATATATATATGTATATATATATATATATATACACACACACACACACACACCCCCAGTTTGGGGTGTTTTTGTTATCTTATTAGCTTTGCCAGGCTAATCATTGTAAACATTTTAAAATGCTTGTAGAGTGACCCATCAAATGAATGGACCATTGTTTACTTAAGTATCCCCCTACTGTTGGACATTTAGGTTATTTGCTATCATAAACAAGTTGTGATGAACATCTTAGTGTACAAAGACTTTTCAGTATTTAGAGCTTTCCTTAGGA